TGCCAATAGGGCTTGAGTGACCTTGAACTTCTTCATTAGGTAGAATAATTGGAGGAGGTGGAGGAAGTGAAGTTTCAAGAAATTTGGGAAGATCATAGATGTTTGAACTAGACATCTTTTGGGAGATATTCAAGATAGTTGATTTAAAGTCCTTAATATAACACCCAAAATGAAATATTAAGGCTAGGACCCAACACAATATTTTATAACTTGGAAGAGGGATGTCGTAATCCAAGCTACAGCATATTTGAAGGTAGGTGAATTACGATTCACCAATTTCCACCATGAAAAATGAAATAATTTATTAGGTTTTTAATTGGATTTGAAACTCCTAGATCTTTTGATATTCATTGAACTTTTTCAATGGCATGTTTCAATCTTGATTGTGCCATCTCAAGTTTTGTGACTGTGATGCTGAGGACCACAAAATAAGGTGTGAATAACCATGCAAGTATACTTGGTACCCTTAATATTTACCCCTTAATTGATGTGTCGGTTAACCACACGCGCTCCACCGATACTATGATAAATATTAAGTTACCCTTCGCACACCTTGTTAAATCAGGCTAGTGTGCCGGTTAACCACACACGCTCCACTAACCGACTTAACCAAAGTGCAAAGTGTAATTTCATGGGTTAGCACCAAATTCACATTTTCCTAAGTAACTAAGATTGGGTATTAATAAGAGTTTAGTTACTTAGTATTTATCATTAATACTTTTAATGAAGGGAGAATTATAGTCTTTGTCCTACCCGTTCGGCAAACGACCCTCCACCAGTCAAAGAAGCGGTGCATGAGAGTGTATACCCATTAAACTGCCATTTTATAGGCAGTAACCTTATACCTCACTTATAGACCGGCTTCGTGAATGAGGCCTACTAATGGTAAGACGACTTACTCTTATACATATATAAATATTATTAACATATAATATTATAAAGTATAAGGGTTGAATTTTAACTTTTAAAATTCTAAGGGCTTAACTTGAAACTAAAGTATTCATGGGGAAAACTTTACAAATTCCAATACTTGAGGGCAAGTTTTGAAACTTTTCAAAACTCTTGGATTTTCATAACTTATGAGTTTAATTAAAGTTTTAAAAAACTTTTAATGAAGAGACTCTTGGACATCCATAACTTGAGGACAAGTTATGGAGTCATAAAAACTATTTATAAGAAAAGAACTCTTCATTTTTGTAACCTAAGGCATTTTTATGAATTTTAAGATTCATAAATGTGACTTTTCATATAACTTGAGGACAAGTTACAAAAACCACATTTTATGAACAATTTTTAGATTAATTTGGATTGAAAACAACTAACACATATTTTTCATTAATCTAAAATAAATCATAAACCAAGGTAACAAAAAAAACAACTTTTGGTAATCCATAGCTTGAGGACAAATTATGGACTCCATTAAAATACATTTAGATCAAGAATTAAATAATAAACACTTTTGTAAATAATTCCTATGATCTACCAACACTCATAAGCATGAACAATCCATATCAACAATTTCAAAAATTACATTAACATACATAAAGCTTGAAAATTTTATTTTAACCTTGAAATTGGTTTAGTATAATCATTACCACTTTAAAAACAAGTTTTATGAGTCCAAAACAGCTTAAGGTACTGATTCTAGACCAATTCCAACTTTAAACCTCGAAGATATGTTGTCGGGGGGTCCAACTCGTCGAGGGGATGAACCAACTCGGCGAGTTGGATGAGTTTGTACTTGGACTCGTCGAGTCCCCTGTCTAGACAGCAAAAATCTTTGATTTTCAGCAATTTAAGCAAGTATAACAAGAAAACAAGCCTAGGCTCTGATACCACTGATGGGTTATGAGCATTCTAACACTCCTAAGTATACATGCAACCCTAAATACCTTGGATCTATGTTTTCTCTATTATACATGAAAATATGAATATTCCAAGGTATTACCCTAACTAGCATACAATCTTTGATACTTGGGTAATAAAATAGATAGAATACATACGTTGTTGATGTAGCTTGACTCCATTAAGCTCGAGAGCCTAGTGCCCCGAGTGTGACACCTCAAATGGTTCACACAACATCATCAACACTTGGAATAACCATGAGAAGAAGACACTTCATGCTCAAATTGGCTAGCCTTCATATATGTATTACTAGTGCCAATTTCTTGAGCTAGAGGGGTCCTTATATAGTGTGCATATTAGGGTTACACCATGTAACCCATGACTTTACCCATTCCTTATGATTCATGGGTTTTAATCTCCATGGAGTATCCATGGGTCACCACATGGGTTAAACCCAACATAAGGAATCATGGATCATAAGCCCACATATATAAGAATGAATGATTTACACAATCAATCCCCATATATTTAATTAGTCTATTTTGATCACTAAATTAAGTCCAAATTAATTCTTGATCAATACTAGTTAAATAACAAGATTTCATATTAATATATTAGAACTTATAATATATTAATATGTCACAAATGTCCTCTTCTGACAAATGGTCTATCCAAATGTTCTGATGCCATGCAACCCAAATGGACCATGCCGAGTTGAGTTAAGTACATACTAATTATAGTTATGGACTTAGACATTAATCCAACATATATAATATGTAACGACCCAATTTTTTAATTAAAATTTTCATTTTTAATTTACCAAAACAATTCTAATAAACCACAAAATCTCAAGAACACTTGTTTTCAAATCCATAACAAAAACAATTTTATTTCAAATATTAGAGTGTCCCAAAAGAAAACGACTGAGATAGTGCATGCTGTGACATCAAGCATTGCCCTTGCCCTTAGGCTCAGAGGTACCTGAGAGAGCGCTACAACCAATGTTAACAGCAACTGGTGGCTCGTTATTCTTCATACCCGACGTCCCAACGTCCGTCTTCATCCTCAGCCTCAACAACAGCAGGAACAATAGCGTACTGACAGTGGTGGTGACGCTCCAACGGTGAAGTAGAGGGTGGTGGATGAAACCTTACATAACGACGCCTGAAGAAGGAGAAGGAGAAGAAGGACGGTCGTCCGATAACCCATGGCGGCAATGAAATCAGTGGCGGCGACTAGACGGCAATGGTGAAGGTGGCGACCAAAGACATCCTCCCTAGGGTTAGGGTTTGAAGCGGGAGGGGTGACGGGTTATATACCCCGATCCCCGAAACTTACCTCCATAATGACAAGTTTAGCCCCTCCATTCCATAATTTCTTTCAAAATAAATCCATATTTTACCCTTTTAACCATGCCTCCTGAAACCCTTTACAAATCAAGTCTGAATTTTACGATTTAGCCCCCGCCTTCTAAAATCTCTTTCAAATCCAATCCCAAAATGTTACCAATCATCCCTTGATTCCATAAATCCTTACATATTAAGTCCAAATAATACCAAACACCCCCTGACTTCTAAAATCCTTTGCAAAACAAGTCATGAAGTTACACTTTAAGCCCTAATTAATCTAAATTATAACATTCGGCTCCCCAAAACCAACAGTCTACTAAATAATATGGATTTAGGGCGACTACTCATTCATCAATTTTATCTATTTATTTATTAAATAAACAGAATGTTACACATAAAGTTGGCACCTTTATGGCAAAGGAGTCCATGAAGACCTTATATCTGAAAGAATAAGCCTGTGGGGCATCCTAATCCCATCATCCATCCAAACCATGGCTAAAAACATAACAATTTAACCCAAAAAGAGATCTAAACATCTAGCAATCAAGATGGAAACTTGATACCTCAAAAGCTTGGCAAACAAGGTGGTGATTATGGATCCAAGACCTCCTCTTCAGGCCAAGCAACTTCTAGCTTCTTCAACTCCTTCAAAATGCACAAAAAAATGAACACCAAAAGCTCTCTAAAGGCTCACACACTTAACAATGGAAGCTAATACGTGATTTTAGGGTTTCTGCACAGTAGATGTTGATATGGAAGGTAACACTTGGGACTTAATGACATTATATAAGGCTTGAACCCTAAAAATTAGGGTTTTAGGTATGAGCATGTACGCTGTGCGTACATCCTTGTATGCAGCACGTACGTGCATGCCTTCACGATCCACTTTAGACCAATTACGCCCCGTATACACCAGGATTATGCCCAACGTACAACCTCGACTAAGCCTACACATAGAAGGCTTAAATCACCAAGCTCAAAGCAACATAGCTGATTAAGACAAGTAAATAAATAATATCTTAGAACAATCGGGTGTTACAGTAGCATCGTGGCCGGTTCATGGTACCTCTATTTATAGGGGAGTGATAAGTTTTTCAACTTGGATAATTACTTGGTCACTAAGTTATTATCCATAAGATTTGAATTTCAAATCTTACACTTTAAATCCCTTGTGATCTACACGTATATATTAATTTATTAATCACTAATAAATTACTAAACTAAATCATCATTATTTTATTTTTTCAATAGTTGCTTAAATATGTTGTTGCGTGCAAACTAAAAGAACCTGCTACTCATAGTAATATATCCAAACTACTATGACAGTTAAACATACTTCTAATAATGTGTGATTTGACACCAAAATAATGTAAAATATAAGATTTGATGCACTTGTTAAGATATTTATTTTCTGTTTTGGGAGATCAATATTAAATTTCACAAGAATATATCTTAACCTTCTATTTTATCTCTATTTTATTTTTATGCTTATTTTTCAAAGATACGTTTATCCAAAGAGAATCCAAAAGAGAAGATTTTCAAACCAAATTCCATTTTTCTTAACATCTATTTCCAAGTCCTCGACGAATTATTTCCACGAATTAGTGGTTTTTCCATTGATTAATCTACAAGAATATAATGGCAATATAGTTTTTGAAAAGACAAACAACAAAAATAATGGATCAAACATATAAACATAAATTTAACTAAACACATATAAACTAATATATTTATTAAACCACAATAATCATGCATTCATATGACATATTTTTATCATTTTTTATAAAAGTTTTAATATATTTGTCCCCAATTTCGACATATTTGTCAAAAATAAATGGAAGTCTTAAAACCTCAAAAGTCTCCCACCAAGTCAACATTTTCCCATTTACAATTCCAAAATCCAAATAGACTTCTTCCCCTTCCCCAAACTTTCCTTCCACCATTTATATACCCTCGAAGCTCTTTCCATTGCAAGCACACAATATCTTAGAAACAGAAAACATGGGGTTTTCCAACATGTTTTTCTTCCCCATATTGTTTTTACTCTGTTCCATCTTCTCTATTCAATCAACTGCACAAACACCAACTTTAGGTTTCCGATGCTCAAACACCACCTCCACCGCCACATGCAACTCACTCATCGACTACAAACTCCCAAACACCACCACCCTCGCCTCCATCCTCAGACTCTTCGAAATCAAAAACCTCCGCTCTCTCCTCGCCGCCAACAACCTCCCAATCACAACCCCACAAACCCAAACCTTCCCCGCCTCCCAAATCCTCAAAATCCCCTTCCCCTGCGCCTGCCGTAACGGTTTCGGAATCTCCAACCGCCGTCCGATATACACCGTGGTTCCCGACGACGGTCTATTCCATATCGCCGCCGAGGTGTTTTCTAACCTCGTGACGTACCCGCAGATCCAGTCTGTTAATAATATATCCGATCCGAATACTATATTGGTGGGTCAGAAGCTCTGGATTCCATTGCCGTGTAGCTGCGATGAGGTTAATGGGGATACGGTGGTGCATTATGGATACTTGGTGCCCGCCGGGACCACCGTGAGTGGGATTGCGGAACAGTTTAATACGACGGAGAGCACGTTGTTGAATCTGAATGGGATGAACAGTTCTGCAAACTTGCAAGCTGATTCGATTCTTGATGTTCCTCTTAAAGGTAATCGATTGTTTTTCATTTTTGTTATATGGATCCATCTGTTTGAGCATCGATTTTGCTACAAAAGGGCATTATTGGGATTAAAGAATTTTAGCCAAAGAATTTTCAGTTTAATATATTTTAAGAAAGTGCGAAGATACTTGTTATCCATATGGCTTAATTTCCTAATGTTAATTATGATATGCAAGATATCTTTTTCATGATCCGTGATTCTTTTATAATAATTAAACGAAAATGTCAAACAATAGTCATATTAAGTATATGGGTAGAATGGGTATTTTTTAATTTTTGTTTATGTTTGAATAGTTTGACCGAAGTCTAATGTTTGACTGATTATGACATGTCTAAAGACCAAAAATAGTCTTTGATAATCGAGTTTTTTTTTTTTTTTTACAAAAAGGATTAAAAAAGAATATAGTAGTTTGTTTAGGTCAAAACAAAAACGAAGGTAAAATAGGTTGTATAACTTTTTAATCAAATCTAATTCTTTTCATTTCAAATTTTCCCTTTTGATAAGTTTTTACATCGAAATCACTTATTCATCTATCTGGAAGGATATTTTGGTACTTTTCTAAATAAAGGAGACAATCACATGTCGACAAGGTCCACAAACTTTAAGGCAATAGTAATAACTAATAACGACAAGTTGTTATTTTTTATTTATATTTTTATTGCATTCATCTTCTTGTTGTATATAACTATATATATATATATATATATATATATATATATATATATATATATATATATATATATATATATATATATATATATATATATATATATATATATATACACCTCCTTTGTGTGATTTCATCGATTGCCTCTATCCTAATTCACACGTCTTTTGAAAACAAAAGTCTTGTATGTGGGCCCATATGGTGTTATTTTTTTTTTAAAACTTAATAAACATTTATTCCACTAATACTTTTGTTGTTTTTTAACAGTTTGTACATCTTCGGTGCAAAATAACTCTTCGGACTACCCTTTACTCGTCCCAAATGGTACTTACGTTTTTACGGCTAACAGTTGTGTCCGATGCCAATGCAATGCTGCAAATAATTGGATGTAAGTCAACACATGAAATTCAACTCAAATCATTTTATTTTTTCAAATATTATTTTATAATCATTTTTATTGTTTTTTTTTTTGTAGATTGGACTGCAAGCCATCGGGGGTTAATTTACCACGAGGGCAAACTTGTCCTTCCACACAATGTGTGGGGACCGCTTTCGATTTGGGTAACACCACTTCGGATTCTAATTGTGGCCTTTCAAGATGTTCGTATGCGGGATACATAAATGGCACCATTGCAACTACTCTTACTCAAGAGTCTACTTGTCCAAGTAGTCCAGGTAAATTTAAATTTAAATTTAAATTTAAATTTAAATTGTTTGACTGTTGGTCAAATATCTACTAAATAAAATGTTGTGTTTCTTAATGTATTTTTATGTGGTGTAAACAGGTGGAAATAACAGCACTCCTTCGGGAAATGGGGCGAATGGTTTAAGATCGAGCTTTATTGTTGGTGTATTATTGATCGTTTTTCATTTTCTCTAGTGAGATGAATATATATCTGTGAATTTTTACAGTGATGTAGTTAGTATCCATGAAGCTAGTATTATCATGGTTTTTTGTTTTCTTGTTGCAATTTTCATGGAATGTTGTTTATTAGAGGGAAGATTTTGGTTAATATTTGGTGTTTGATCGTTTTGAGTTTTGTATATGTAACACGATTGCCTAATAATGTTGGTTCTTGTTCTTGAGATTTTTTTTTTTTTGAACAAATTGAATGATTAAATATAAACCAATTCCTCCAACTTCTTTAGAATCTTTTCCCTTTTTCATTCATGCTAACTTGGTGTCACACATTTCCTAGTAGAAAAGTATATTGGCATTTTTTTTTTAAATATTTAACATCCCAATTGGAGCCTTGAACATGGTAAAAGTTGAAGTGATAAAGTTTAGACCTACTAACTTGACGATTTCTTCTCAAACTTCTCCAATATTTTTTGTAAACTTTCTCTATTAACCATGTCATCAATAATAGCAAGATCAAGATGAATCCTCAACAAATGGGCTATAATCTTTGCCTTCATGAAACAAACACCAATTTTGTACATATTATTTTTATTAAAAAATATATTTAACCCACCCAAGTTTCCCGAATAAAAGCACCTTAGAATTCGAATAAGACCCATAACATTATAATTTGACAAATCCTCTAAAAAATTGCATCATTCCACAAAAAAAATGTGAAAAGACATAAATTCAGTGAGCCCATCTTAACACCTTTAAAAGGCCCTTTAATTTGGTCCGTTGACATGGTCGCATCATTGTAAATCATCTATATTGACTATATCCATTGGGCAATATGAATAAAATGGAGATAATGGCTCGTCTTACCGAAGACCATTTGTTATCTTAAATCAACACTGCGTGAAACGTTGACAAGAATCGAAATACAATATTTGATTAATGAAGACAAAGCTTTATAATTAATCAGAAAATCCCATAATTTTCATCATCGAAGGTAAATGTGACCAACAAATCGAGTCATATGTCTTCTTTAAATCAACTTTAAAAAATAGTTATTATTATTATTATTTCTGAGGGGAAAAAATAAAAAAAATGAAAGAATTTCGTATAAAAGAAACTCGTATATGACAAAATAAGATAAAATTTTGAACTTATAATTTGGAGTCCAAAACAAATATATTTTGTTTGAAGGTTAGGCCAAATAACCCATGCTCATAAATGTTGTGTTTAAAGTGCACTATTTTTTTTGTTTATTTATATAGTTATGTGTTTTTTACTGTAATGTATAATTCGGCAATTGGGTTATTTGTCTCTTGTCATTCTTTGTACTATGGATAAAAGTGGATCCAAACCTCGCCCGGATGGATTCGGACACGAAAAACTCGTAAACCGGTTAATAGGATTTTATATGACCAGATACCGGACCGGTATATAGGATTTGATATCCCGATTTTGGGGGACTGTAAACTATATGTTGAAAAAAAAAACCACATGCTTATCTCAGTCCAAACGAATTAGGTATACATGTTTTAAAATTTTTACAGAATACAAAAATAAAACTAAACAACTGAAAATTTACAGCTTTGATATCTCAAATTCAGGAGATTGTAAGTTAATGAATATAAAACCAAAAATAACACAATTATAGTCTAAAACCATATAGAAACTCTAAATTACACATCGGAAAAAACCGTATGCAAATTCGACTTCAAACAAAAGAGATGTATGTTTTAAACTTTTCACGGAAACCGGTTTCGGTCCTTAAAACGGTTCCGGTTCCTAACACAACCAAACCCAGATAAATTCATTCTTTAAACCCGGAATCTGAACCGATTCTACGTATTTCAGTTTTAGCTGTGTCAATTTTGGTTTTAAATCTCATCGCTATTTTGCGCAACAGATAAATATAACTTATTTTTACTTTTATATTTTAACCTAAATTAAGAGATTTTTTTTTCAAAAAAAACTATTATATAGCTTCGTGGTTATTAATTTATTATATAACTTCGGGTTATTAATTTATTATATAACTCGGAACCAAACAACTCCCTAATAAAGATTCAATTCGGGTCGGGTTGTCGGTTACAATGGATTTTCCGGGTAACATAACCGAAACGAAAAATCATGAATTCATCGTCATCGTCGTATTCATAAAACCACGGCGGAGTTGACAGTAACGCCTTTGCATGCCGCCGCTTTTATAAACTCGTAGTACCACCAATCAACAGAAAATCCCTATCTACTCAGGTTAATCTTTCATCTTCATTCACGATTTTCATTTTTGCTTTTGCTTTTTACTCTCTGTATTAAATTACTTATCTTTCATGGTTTTGAGGTTTTCACTTTTCCGTAATGATTTCGTTATATCTCAGTGAGTGTTCTTGTTTTTTATTGCAACACACAGTGACACAACCATGTGATTCTTGACAGATGCCTAAAATTTGGTTTTGTAGGCTAATTTGATCAAATTCGCTTCTATAGGCCTCTAATGTTTTCACTTTTTAGTGGGTGTTTCTTGTGAAATTCAGATAGCGCTTGTTCATCTCTTTGTTTGTCAGTTTTGATGTTATCTTTCTAAACCCTCCATTTCCAAGAAGGAAAACTGTATTTTTCTTCTTTTTTTAGTCATATACTTCGCTATTTGGATTCAAAATCCATATGGATTTTATTACGGATTTTACATAATTTCATCATATGTTCTTGAAAATTTGAATATTCCATATTCAATCGCGCTTGTAGAAAAAGAACCATTTGACCTCAATCATATGATGGATTGATGGTCATTTGTAGTTAAGGTGTTCGATGATATGCCAATTGCCACCTCCTTCTTATTCCTGAATGACTTTATCTGTCTTATCTGAACAGTTTCCATCAAATGTCGCTAATTTGGGGAATCCAAAGCCTTTATAACATCGATCTTCTTAACATTTTCATCTTGTGGGTCCAAGTGACCACTTATACCTAAGAAGAAAGAATATTAATTTCCATTATTGATAGTCATATTACTCTTTAATTCATTCACAAATCAACCCATTGCTTTCTTGATCTATAAATGATGGCATTTCATTATGAAATTTGCCTAACATGTCATTGTCTGAAACCAAACAAAATCACACATCCATCAATGTCATGTTTCCAATTTGATGCTAAGGGCATTGAAAATGACAACTCTTACATAATCTTTACTTTCTATAAAAGTTATATAATATTGGAATGATAAGATGTATATTACATCTTTTTTATTATTCTTGTATGTAAGATAAGATGTATATTACATTATTACACTACCCATTCAGTTTCTTGTCTTCCATGATTTGTTTATAGTGATTTTAGTCATAGTTTTTTGTTATATTATGATTTTACTTACCTACTCCTCTTTTAGCAAATTTGTACAAGTTTGTGAAGTTGGTATCTCTACTCCACTCTAGGCTTATAAAATTACTAAACTTATTCATTAGATAAAAGACAGAAATAAGTGAATATGACAAAATTTTGTTTTAATATAACACAGATATGGCTTCTGGGCAACTGAATGATGGTGTTGTATATAATGGATTGGCTACAAGAAGTAGTGAAAGGACAAAAAGAAAGTTAAAGAAACCAGAACAATTGTCAATAGGAGGAGTTCATGATTCATTTTCATCACACAATTTGAAATATTCTTCAAATCCCTCAAAGATGATGTTGTATTCTTCAATTATGCGTAAAAGGAAGCATGTTTCTTCTTCAATAAAAAGGAAAAATTCAGATTTTAGTGTGTGTTCTTCTGAAGAGAATATTGCAACACAGGAAGAAGAAGATGATGTGGCAAACATTAGAGAAGTATATCCGTATGTCCTCAAACTTAGTCTTTATCATCGTTTTTCACTCGTGTAATAAGAAAAAGATTCACATTTATATATATATATATATATATATATATATATATATATATATATATATATATATATATATATATATATATATATTCAGGGACTTAATGGGAATTGCTAAAAAAGAAGAACCAGAAATGATTGAAAAATCACGTGCCAAGAATATAAAAAAGGAGCTCATTGCACTCACATTACCAGCACTTGCAGGGCAAGCTATTGAACCTTTAGCCATGTTAATGGAGACAGCTTATATTGGTAGATTAGGTAAAAAGATTAAAAAGCTTTCAGGGTTAATTTAGTAAATTCAACTTTTTCCTTTTTTCTTTTTGTGTTTATCATATCCTATTCACAGGTCCTGTGCAGTTGGCTTCTGCTGGAGTCTCCATATCAATCTTTAACATTGTTTCAAAGCTTTTCAACATTCCTCTTCTCAGTGTTGCCACTTCTTTTGTTGCTGAAGATATTGCTAAAAACCAAGGTGGAATTTTTTTTTTACCTTTTTACTGTTTTCAAGAAAAAAAAATTTACCTTTTTTTTTTACAGGAGATAATTCTGATGAAGCAAATGGGAATGGAATGACAGAAAGGAAACAGTTAGCTTCTGTTTCTACAGCTTTGCTTTTAGCTGTTGGAATTGGAATCTTTGAGGGTTTATCTTTATATTTTGGATCAGGGGTTTTTCTTAATCTCATGGGTATATCATCAGTAAGTTTCAATCTTTTGGGAACTTCAAATTAGGGCTAAATGCAAGAAACAGAAGAATACTTTTATATATAGTTTTCTGTTATTACAGCATTATACTTTAATTGCTATTTCTTGCATAAAATTGTTGAAATTATTGGTTTATATTATACAGGCTTCTTCAATGCATGCGCCAGCTCAGCAGTTTCTTTCCCTTAGAGCCCTTGGTGCTCCTGCAGTTGTTGTCTCTTTAGCTCTTCAAGGTGTTTTTCGTGGTTTTAAGGACACAAAGACTCCTGTATTTTGTCTAGGCAAGTTTTTTGTTTTTCAATTTTAAAGGTTTAATTATTATTTTCTATTGGTTAATAATATATATATTTTTTTCTTTCTACAGGCATTGGTAATACTTCAGCTGTTTTTCTGTTTCCCATTCTTATGTACTACTTCAAATTAGGTGTAACTGGAGCTGCCATTTCTACTGTTACCTCACAGTACGTAAAAATAATAAATCTCCCTTTTATAAATTAAAAAAAAAAAAAAGTTTTATCTTAATTCTTACCTTTTTTTTTTAATCATATTGTTTCAGATACATTGTCACATTTTTAATGATATGGCACCTTAATAAAAGAGCTGTATTACTTCCTCCAAAACCAGGAGCACTTAAATTCGGTTGCTATATGAAATCTGGTAAGTAATAAAATATCTTATTATTATTATTATTATTTTGTATTTTAAAAACTAAAAAGTTGTGTTTTGTTTTTTTAGGTGGGTTTCTTCTTGGAAGAACACTTGCAGTTCTTACAACAACAACCTTAGCAACATCAATGGCTGCTAGACAAGGTCCTATAGCCATGGCTGCTCATCAGATATGTTTGCAAGTTTGGTTGGCTGTTTCTCTTATTACAGATGCATTGGCTGCATCTGGTCAGGTATAAGTTCACCAAATCTTGACTTTGACTTTGACTTGACATATAGTTTAAGGATAATGTTTTGACTATTTGTCGGATAGTTGACTTCTTAACTATTTTTTTTTTTTTTTTTTTGTTTTAGGCGTTGATTGCTAGTTCGGTTTCAAAAGGGGATTATAGATCCGTGAAGGATATCACATACTTTGTGTTGACTGTAATGTTAATTAATAATTATTTTCTTTATATAATATATAAAGATTTTTTTTTTTTTTTTTAATTTTATTTTATAAAAGTTAATTAATGTTTGTTATTTTCTTTAGATTGGTTTTGTGATGGGTGTTACTTTGGCTGCAATATTGGGAGTTTCATTTGGGTCTATAGTCACACTGTTCACTAAGGATGTTGGAGTATTGGCGATTGCTAGAACCGGGGTTTTGGTAAAATCCCTATAATACCCTTGTTATTTTATTTATATATATACATTTCTGATGTGTTTTGTTTTTGTGGAAAAAGTTTGTGAGTGCTAGTCAGCCTTTGAATGCTTTGGCTTTTATTGTTGATGGTTTGCATTATGGAGTTTCAGACTTCCCGTATGCTGCTTATTCCATGGTATGTTTTTTTTTAGACATGAATATAAAATTACGTATTTGCCCTTGGATTAAATATGTTTTTTCACTTATTGTAGATGCTTGTTGGGATTTTATCGTCTGCTTTTCTTTACTATGCTCCCTCGGGTTTTGGTCTTCATGGCGTTTGGTCGGGTTTGACTCTCTTCATGGGGTTACGAATGTTGGCAGGGCTTATCAGGTAATTGTGTGATTTCATGACATGACAAAGGGTATATCGGTAATTTCATCTTCTTTGAGAGAGAGAGAGAGCTAACTTTTTTGTGTTTTTGTTTAGATTGTTAAACAAGAATGGGCCATGGTGGTTTCTGCATGAGGATTTGAATTTAACAAAGGTCGTGCCATGAATTTTTTTTTATTTATTTTATTGTGGCTTTGTTTTGCTAAATTGTGTTGCATTTTATCTTTGTTTTCACAGGTTGGGCGTTAGATGGGATTTGGAAAAAAAAAAAAAAAAACTGATCTGATTACACACAACACAATCTTGACTACTGCTGATATACTTGTTGACTGTAAGTCTGTTTCTTTTTTACTTAATGCAAGAAAGAACGACTTAATTCATAAAGTCGTGTAAATTAGGTCATGACTTATTGTGGCTTTGTAGGATACAACAGAGTGAATTGGAGAAAGCATTTGAAAGGAATTGGTTTCAAAAAAAGGGATGTGATGCATGTATCACTTAATGCCAAAGTGTTGTATATAATCTTTTTTTTTTTTTTTAATGTTTGTATGATAATTTAAGACAAAATGAATGCAAAAAATAACAAAGTACCTTCACTTATCTATGTATTATAGTATCCTACTTAAATTTCTTTTCATTATAGCATAGCTACATTTAAGTTGGAGTAAGTAAATGCAGAAAAACAAATGATATGTTGAAAATTGGTACAAACATCTCACAATTGATTCTTATTGAAGTCTTTAATGTTTTATCATCTTGCCTCAAAGGTCATCATAATATATTATGTTATTCACAAGGAATAAAAATCTGTGAAGAAATATAAAAATCATATCAAAATCAAAAGGATGATGATTTGGAATTGGAATTGGAATTGGAAGTGATCTATTGAAGTTTAGCAATGACAGCATCGACAACTTCTTGAGTGGTGCTGTTCCCACCGAGATCTTTTGTTCGGTATTTTCCCTCCGAAATGACACGTTTGACCGAGTTTTCCAATCGGTCAGCAAAAGAAGGAAATTGAAGATGTCTGAGCATCATTGCAGATGAAAGAAGCAATGCCACTGGATTTGCTGTCTTTCTGTCCACTATCTTCTGTTTTCCAACATTTCCTGCTGATGCACCTTGCTCAAACACAGCATGATCAGCTCCCACATTACCTACAATTTGTATTCCCATATGTTAATTAAATGCAAGAAATAGCCACCTACTTTCATTGATTTGAAAGAAGAAAAAAAATATATATATATATATATATATATATATATATATATATATATATATATATATATATATATATATATATATATATATATATATAGGTGATTATCATCCAAATACAAAGCAATTTTCACTGCTAATTTGATAGATTATTCAAACTATCAAAGTTACTTATTAAGAGAAATAGAAAGGAATGGAAGTATGATCCTATAATAATTTTTATTAAAGAAGATGAAAGGGTGTTTCTATTAATTGCATTTAGCCCATTTGTTTAGTATATATACACAAATTTTCATAATTGGTCCATGTGGTTTGCAAAATATATTTGCACTTTAACGACAACTATGGAAAATGTCATGCCACTGTCCCTGTGGTTTGCAAAATTTCATGAATGGTCCTTCTGAGTTTTAAAACCAACTTTTCAGCTGTTACTTTTTATGAAAAGACCATTTTACCCTTGAACCAAATCTACAATAATATTCAACAAACCTCAAGGAACAGTTGTGTAATTTTGAAATCTTGAAATGTATATATACACACACTTTAATTTTTTTCCTTTTTTTTTTAATTTATTTTTCAACAACTTGATAACATTTTTTTTACCTTTTAGACCTTTTTTTTTTTTTTTTTTTTTATAATTTTAGTTATTTATTGTGTTTTCTAATGTTTTTATTTATTTTGATTCAAGTAAAAGAAAAAACTTCAATTGAAAATATTGTAACAAATTAAATCATATTTCTACATGCGATATCAATAGTTTAAACTCAATATAATACTTTTCAATTTGAATATTTGATAATAGACTAAAATAAAGAATAAAAGAAATAATAAGAGTCGGACTCTATAAAAAAAGTGAAGTGTATATTGCAGAATTGATCCTTGAGGTATACACAATTCTCAGATTTGGTCCAAGGGCATTTAGGTCATTTAGAAAAAACTAACTACTCAAAAGTTAAAGTTAACGCCAGTCATGCAAGGTTTCAAAACCATAGAGACCGGTGGCGTGACGGTTTCCATAGTTGTCCTCAAAGTGAGATATTTTGCAAAGAACAAGGACCAATTATGAAATTTTGTTTGAAAATCTACACAATTACAGAATTGGTATCCAGATAAAAAGCAGGAATAATTATGCAAATATAATCAAATTTAAAGGAGCGCCAACCTCCAGGCATGACACCAGTGCCACCAGCAATACCAGCAGCAGTATTTGCCACCAAATTTCCATAAAGATTAGGAGTAACCTAAACAATAACCACACACTTAAATCTACGTGGCATTTTGAAAAACTTAAAATCTTGAAAAGATTCATAGAAAGCAAAGAATTATGAGTTGTGACATAATTGTATAATGATTACTGACCATAACATCAAATTGTTCTGGCTTTGAAACCAGCTGCATGCAGCAATTGTCCACAATGATCTCATTGTATTTTATGCCTGGATACTTGCTTGCTATTTCTCTACAAGATTCTAGAAACAAACCATCTGCAAGTTTCATGATGTTTGCTTTGTGGACAGCTGTCACTGTTTTCCTGTTATTGAGGTAAGCATACTCAAACGCGTACTTTGCAATTCGCTCTGAGCAAAACTTTGTGATCACCTGAAAATTATGGAAACTTCAGATCATTTTTGAAACAGAAGGGTCAAATGGTCATGTAATTCTACATTCTCAACCCAAACTTCTAGGGAAATTGAGTTCATTTCAGGGACTATCATCTACTTCCCTAAACTTCTTTACTTGACCTAAGATTCTAAGCTTAGAACTTAGCTAAACCTTAAGATTATTCAGAATACATACATCAAGTACCTACTTACATGTGCAAGTTTCAGAATCCATAACGTTTTTTTTTTTTTACATATTCAATAGAAATTGGATGGAGATGAAAGGAAAACGATACTTGGATTAGAGTATACCTTAAGACTTTCCACCACACCAGGAACAACCTCGTGTTCGAGCCCTGCGTATTCGCCTTCAGTATTCTCTCTAATCACCACAATATCAACATTCTCATGGCGCGTGGGTAATCCAGGCAAATTAAAACAATTTACAAGCGATGCGTACAGATCAAGCTCTTTCCTTAACTGCACGTTCAACGAACTAACCCCTCCACCCATGGGAGTATTCAAACCCCCTTTCAAGCACACTTTATTCTTCTTAATCGACTCTATGACTTCCGCTGGTATGGTCTTCATGTCACCATGAACATCGAACTTTTCGAAGTAAATCGGCGCGTGCATCGCATCCATTACTTGCTCGACAGCTCCGGTAACGAGGGGACCGATCCCATCTCCGGGGATTAAGGTGACTGTGCGAGGAGCACCATCACCTGGCCGGGGCATGTAAGTGACAGATCGGGATGGGGTCGAAACAGGTGGAGCTGGTCGGTGAAGCAGTTGCTTGAGGATCGGTAGAGTTCGTTTGGCCATTGGATGCAGATTTGCTTGTTTGATCCGATTGAATAAGATTACAGACAGAGCGGATATTAGGGTTTTGATTGACGAATCTGCTACTGGAAAGGGCGGGCGAATAATGGAGGAAGGAAAGAGAAATACTGGTGAAATAGAGAATAAGTTGACCTTTCAAGGATCCCAATATTAGAAAAGTTTAATAATATTAAAAAAAAATTATTAATGATTTAGGGACAAGGAGTCGTATATGTTCGTTAAACAAAGGCGCAGTTTATAAAAAAAAAAAAGTTCTAAATTTATTTTGTTAATAAGGAAATCATGATTAGTGGATAAACAATTCAAATCGGCTCTTTTTTACAGCAAACTATATTTTACACGGTTACTTTTAGAAAATTCTTATTACTTGTCACCATTTTTATTTTTATTTTTACTTTAACAATTTTACTATTTCACTAAAAATCTAGAAATTTTTTGGTTGAAATTATAAATAAAAATAAGAACAAATTACACGAATAGTCCTTTAGCTTTACAGTTTGTCCCTGAGTTGGTCGTTACGAAACTTTTTTCCCTGAGATGGTCCTCAATGAGCAAACCTTGCACACGAAAGGCCCCTGTGACTAACTCTATTATCAGATTCAATTAAGTTTTATTAAATGACAAAAATACCCTTAATTTTATGCACACAAAATGGTCCTTACAACTCTCTCTCTCTCCCGATCTCTCTCTCTCTCTCTAATGTATGGATAAATTAACAATGTTTGACTGATAAAGTCAAAATTGGATCCACAAATGTTTCTCCTCTCTTAAATCTCCTTCAACAGACGACCACACCCATTGTTGGAATCGGCCAAGGAAGTCGCCGCTGCCATCTAATTCCAGTACTCTGCCACTGCAATCACCAACGACCACCACCGTTGCAACCACCACCGCTGCAATTTTTGGGGAAAATGATTTTTTGAATCACGTTTTTAAAACCAATTTACGATACTGTCAAGGCCGAGGTAGTGAACATTAAGAACAGAACATCACCACATTCAAATTTGCAGAATTATGATGATATCAGCGAGTACTTCTGGAGGAGAAGGTGCTTCGAGAAATTAAAGTGGTCTATAGACATTGAGAGCAATTTCTTCATAACAACAAGCAAAAGGAAGTGGGTAGGGATCAATTTCTTCGATAAGCTCTGGACTATGTTGTGTTTGTTTCTATAAGTTATCATCATCGTTGCTTGGAGGGATCCAAACCATCCTCCACAGAAGGAATTAAAGAACAAAGACACCCCTCTCTCTCTCTCTCTCTTGTACATCTCGTATACGTCTCTTTCTCTCTCTTCATTATTCATTTAATTCTTGCAAATAACACCAATGATATAACCCACTTAAGATCTTCTAGACCTCACAAATGTCACATATGAATGGCACCAATTCTTTGCTAACAACAACAGGTTTGCAGTAGGCCTTTTATGGCTTCTAGTTGTATTAATCTATTTCATGTACACACAAATCAGGTACTCAATTTACTCTTCATTCGCAGGTGTAGCAGTTGGCCCTTTATGGCTTTCAATTTTTCGCAATTGCAATGCAGTTCAATCTTATGCCTGAAGAATAGTTGTTGAACACAAGAGGGACTTTTTCCCTCGATCTCTGGATTTTGTGTGTCCTGTCGATTATAGAGTGTGTGTTGGTTCATATGTGTTGAATTTGAACCTAGATCTTCACCACCAGGAAGAGGGGGAAAGAGACGTACAAGAGAGAGAGAGAGAGGTTCTTCTGTGTTGAACCAGAACCCAAGATCGTCATTTAGTTCATCCCAAAATCTTCATCTAGTTTATCTCTAAGTGTGTGTGTGATGAATCATGGAGAGGGGGAGAGAGAGGGAGAGTTGTAAGGACCATTTGTGTGCATAAAATAAAGGGCATTTGTGTCATTTAACAAAACTTAACTAAATCTGTTAACATAGTTAGTCACAGGGGCCTTTCGTGTTCAAGGTTTGCTCCTTGAGGACCATTTCAGGGAAAAAAGTTTCATAAGGAACAAATCAGGGAAAAACTGTAAAGCTAAAGGACCATTCGTGTAATTTGTTCTAA